AGGCCACGCGAGGTGGCCATGTGGAAGGTCGCTAAAGTTTGAGCCATCACACCCTGTCGGACGTTAACCTAGATGCAAACGACGTTCCCACCTCGCAAGCGTCTACGAGCAGCAAGGCATTATCAGAAGCCATTATTGATTTCTTTACTTCGTAAGTAAAGTCCGCATGACCCTAAAAAAGTTAACAGGAGGCGAGATATTAGGGAAAATCAATCTATTCCGCTAACAGGAGTGTCCAGAAGGTTGAGCAGGAAGGTCTGATTTTCAAAGCGACAAAACATGGCCGCACTTCGAGCCTTCACAGTGATGCCTCTAGCACGCTCCACACTCAACGTGTCCAACACCTGCGCATTGGCGTGGCTTTTCTCGATGACTCCTAGGGGAAGGGGGGGGGTGTCTGTGAGGATAGGAGACGACGAACCTGCATACTCAAGTAGGCGATCAACAAGGGTACTCTTTCCATGATCGATGTGGGCAATGATGCAAAAATTACGAATAAATTCCGGTTTGAAGTCGCACAGGCTGAAAGGCTGGTGAGGCAATCGGAAGAATATAAGGAACATACCGCCGCAGTGGAGAAATGGCTGTAACAAGTGAGCCACTTCCAGAGAAGACAATTAGATCTTCTGAGGTATCCTAATCGAAAGTTCATTGTCGGATATTACTGAGAAAAGGCCATCCCGGGAGGATTTTATCCTGAAACAATGGACACAGATGAAATAAGGGCTAATAGGGACCGCGAGAGGCTGGAGAGTTTGGGGCTGGCGACAAAGCCGCTGACTTGTGGCACGCTGAATTCGACTGCTGGTCACTATGCCACCGTCTGAATGAGCTACTGTCTCGCAATTTCACGACGGAACGAAAATCCCCCTCCTCATCTTGCGACCAGGTTTGATCGGCGTGGGCCACTTGAGTGTAACTTAACATACCTCTACTTGACGTAAACAGCCTTGAGCTGTTGGCTTAAAAGCCCGGGCGCTTTTTGGAATTGGTTGTGTGGCGCACTTCGTGTCCGGTCCTTATACTTTTCATAGCAAGTACTGTGTGGTGGGAAACATGGACCTGGATTTTATGATCGATCAAGAAGTTTTACCGGAAAGGATAAGGTATTTCCGCCTTAAATGCCGTCATCAGGTAATGGTAGTTAAACGCAGATCGGGTGCTTGAGACGTTAACTTATATCAGCCAGTTATCGGGCACTTTTAAGTCAGGCTTTCCTTGACTCGAGTAACGCCGATTGATATGCCCTGGTTGTAAGATTGAATTTCAGTTTTACACCGAGTTTTGAGAAGTCTATATCTCGCACGTGGTCGCAGAGTGATCAACAAATAATAATAATACTAATAGTAATGATGATAGATCAATCTTAACCTCCAAAGACCAAGAGACATTGCACGGAGGATCAACAGAGGCTTCGGGGATGTCTAAGCCTCAGTGCTATCGAATACCCCAAGGAAACTATAGCAACCTATTTTGGAAAGACAAAATATCCGTTAGCCCGGATGCTGACTTCCCGGAGCGTCCATGGATGGCGGGTAGTAGAACGGCCATCAGTATATGCTGGTTGCAAAATAAACAGGCTCTCAGATCTGACCAATAAGCAGTAGCGCACCGTCAGTGACAGTGCTACCTGGGCGCAGAGAGCTATGGCAAGCCGACTGCCTTATTAAATACGGAAAGGCCCGTTGACGACACTGCGCCGCGGCGACCGTGAACCGCCATTAAATAAGCTTGACTGTCAACGTCACCTTGTGTTTAGGTCCTAGTGCTAGGGGAGACAACCTCGAACAAGCAATCCGAGCGGCTGTCGACGACCCGTCTGCGCTTTAAATTCCCAAGAAACCCCATGAAAATGCTCGCGGGATCATCGCGGCCAGCCATATCAGGCATGTCCACAGTCGTATTAGGTACAATTAAGTAAGACGGTACTGATGAAAAGCATGCTTCCATCAATAAAGGATCACCAACCTAAACGAAATAAACTAAGTTCGTTGGGTTTGCTTTTGGCGCCAGTCTGCGAATACGAAACATGTGCATTCAGGAGTGAATGTCCCTGGAGTAAATTCTGGGAATGTTTTAATGTCTAGGATAAAAAACTCAGCGTGCGAGCGGTAAACGTCAAAAACGCCTTTCAGCAAACGTAGCCCTGCGAAGGACTTAAAGTGGCAAGTAACGAGCAGAAGTGGCAGTACATTGAGGGAAGACCAGGACGAAAGTATATCACCTACAGTTCAGTTTAACATCGTTAAGGATAGCACCTAAATATTGAATGGCCCAAAGTTGACGTGAACGGCAAATTTGACCCGAACCCGTAGTGCATTTGACTGAAATTAGTCAAATTCGTTTGAACTCGAGGTAGGAAATGGACAGATACAGAATTAGACCTGCCGTCATGATCTGCACTGGTTAGGCTACACTACCTTCAGATTCAATTTTTGACCGAATAATCCGAATTTATTTCACGACATGCCACCCAGAAGAAGTGAATTGTTGAGACAAACTTGCAAGCGGTCGCGGTCGGGAGACGTGAGCTATTAAATATTTATAAGAAACAGCATAGGATGTAACAGTAGTGTATCGTGCAACTTTGAGGGATGCCAAAAAATAATATCACTCTTCTACACTATGTTGGGCGAATGGGGTTCGAGCTACAATAAAAGAAATACCTATTCTACACTACCGCCGTGCGTGTTGAATGCGGATAAAGCAACTGTGCTGTAAAGCATTTTTTACCTGATATCATACGAACAGAACCTTCCGCTGTCAAAGAACGCGTATGCTGAAGAACCACGCGCAAGAAGCATTTTAAATGGTCCTACTGCAAGGTCCAGAAATATTTCGTACAACTTATTCGACTTCTTCACATGTCCCATGTTGTCATCCCAAGTGAACATTTTTAAAGCTACACTGCACAATGGACTTCCCGAAGTGGTTCAATTAAAAGTAATCGATACGTTTGCATACCCCTCATGCAGAGGTTAATACGTTACCAGAAAGTCAGCCAGAAATGGTCAGACAAGCACTGGTAAAAGGAGTTATGCACACTCAAAACAATCTGGCTTTCCGCGGCGGTCTGGTCTCGTTCCCCCGCGCCTATTAACCTACCTAATTTGGCAGCGTCTTCCTGTAATTCGCTAAACGAACAGCAAAACCTGGCGAATACAATAGTCCTATCCTTAGTGAATAATCACTTCTTTCACGGTTAGATACAGGAAGAGTTAGAGATTTATGATGAAATGCAGAAAGTGAAAAATATTTCAGATGAAGATAGACCATCTCGATAGCGGCCAAATTTTTATGTTACCTTTAGCTGCCCGGCTGAAGGCAACTGCAACTTACTAACCTCACAAAGTGGCTCACCCTATGTAACCCTATGAAGAGTAGGGATGGGTTCTGGAGCACTACTCGAAATGCTAGGCCTATCAGGTATGGCCTACTATTATTCCCTGTCTGTAGACGTGCAGAAGTCGGGGTTCGCCAAGCAGCCAAGGATGCAAATATCACTAGTTTATTATGGCGCCAGAGACCGAACCATCGCGTGAAGATCACAGTTCACGCAGGTCTTACCGATAAGAATTATTATAAAAATGATATAAACAATAACAGGCACCTTGGAATCTGCGTATGTTCCCATATATTTCCGTAGATATTAAAAGGCACCCAGGAAAAAATAAAAAAGCAGGAGATATCATCCGATTACGGCAATGTTCGTTTCCAAAGACGTCGACAGCGGCTTTTCGGGCGAGGCGAAAACAACTAAATCCGATATCTCAGTACGAAAACTCAGTTACCGAATAATGCAACTTTGTGAGAAAAGTTATTTACACCCTTTCTAGCAGCCCACTTCGTAGTCGGCTCAGCTTATCTAGGTAAGGCAGTAGGCGGCAGCTGTGGTAAACAACAACATATCCTGACGCCCAAGTGACTTAGCGACTGCTTAAATCTTGCTCGTTGGCGTGGCAAAAATATCCTGATGGACGTCTGCAAAGCACGTTTAGAAGTCCATCCTATCTTGACGGGTGTAATATACATACGCCGAATGAAATAAAAACACTTATCCATTATATCTGCACACTAGGCCGTCAGTGAACACCAGACCAAGCACAGCATTGAGCCGACATCGAATTTTTTAAATTTAGTATTCCAAAAAAGTCAGTACTGCGTATGAAGTCGAAAAACACTCATGGAAGGCACTCGTAACAGCATGGCACCTCCGCGTATTTTCCCTTACATACCATATAGAGAAAACGCCTAGAAAGACCCTGGAGGAGGAAACTTAATGCGTTGAAATGGGGAGCGACAAGTTCGCATCTTTGAAAAACATCATACTGCTTTACTGCTGAAAAAGTGACTGTGAATTGGTTGTTTAAAGTGTGTGGGAAGTAATGTCTCTTTCGAATGCTGCTACCACAGCTGACAGACTATACTGCAAGCCCACCATGGATTTCCCGTGCCGTTAGCAGTAAAATGTCAACATAAAGAGGTCCTGTCACTTTTCCACCAGTTTCGCTTCCCCGACTATAATCCAAATTAGCACGTTTTCAATTGCCATAAAAATGAATTCCAGGCTAACGTTAACCTAAACAAAAAACTCAACATTTAGAAAGGATCGCCAGACAGTCAACGATGACGGATGGCTTCGCGTTCGGCCAAAATGGTAGCCTTAATGTGCGATGCCGGGTAGAAGAGAGAGATAAATAAGTCTTGAACTCATGGGAGGGCGAGGACGGCACCCAAACCGTATCAGTCGTCTTTGCGGAACAGCTTAAGGTATATCCATGATGTCGCAGTAAGTCCGACGTCTCATCCGAAACGAAATCCCTAAACTTCACTCGGGCGGCCTGTTCTTACGCATTATGATTAAACATGTTCGGCTTATGCTGGTCACTCATGCATGCACGGCTTAGTATTCACAGCCCTGAAAGTAGCCGGATGGATTTCCTGTATGCGTAGATTTTAGCAACGATTGTAATATTGCGAACGCTTTAGAAAAACCCCCGAAGCCTTATAAAAACCCTGGAAACAACATCCATTCAGACGAACCATCTATCTCCAGTAACGACAACAATAATCCACTGTGAACGTGCTTTAAAACTGCAGAAAAGTTAAAAATGCAGACTGGAGTCAGATCCTGGTAACTATGGGTCAACAACTCTAAGAATAAAAGTATAGACAGGACGACGTATCTAAACCCCTTACGTCTCGCTGGAGCATAAGGAAAATTAAAAAAAACTTGCTAAATGCGTTCCTATAAGAAATACGAACTGCATTACCTTAGTTATGCCTTGTGTGCCGTATATCAACGCGATAAAAAATTCCTCTCCCGCGAAACCCACAATCTTAACTATCCCAAACGTACAGCTCAGGCCCGGCGTGGTACAAAAGGCTGGCCTTAGATGTTCTGCATGGCCAAAAATTTGGACACTAAAACCATGCATACGCATGAGAACGTCGATAGAACGGGTTAATGGGGAAGCGCTACCTAACTCTGGGTATTAACTGTAGGTGCAAGACATGGACTTTCTAACAACCAAATATTTAAGGTGTCGAAAGGCTACTGGCAGGCGGGTATCAGACCGACCTGACGAGCAGCGGCGGACCACACGACTGATTCACTGGCCACCGGGATACTGCCCCCAGGGCGCGAAGACG